CTGCAACCCAGATAAGTGCCCTTGACTGGGAATCAAACCCACAACCCTCTGGTCCATGTGCTGATGCTCTAATCACTAAGCCAAACCGGCCAGGGCTCTCTGTGTTCATCTTGATTGGGAGTCTCTGTACTTCCTAAACTTGTGTTACTTTTCATTTACCAGGTTAGGTAAGTTTTCTGTCATTATTTCTTTAAGCAGGTTCTCTATTACTTGCTCAATTTCTTCTCCTTTTGGTACCCCTACGCTGTGGACATTGTTATGTTTCATGTTGTCCTGAAATTTCCTTAAATTATATTTCTGCTTTTAAATTCTTTTTTCTTTATGCTGCTCTACTGGGTGTTTTTTTCTACCTTGTCTTCCAAGTCACTGATTCGATCCTCAGCTTCATTCAATCTATTTTGATTCCTTCCAATGTCTTCTTCATGTCAAATATGGTATTCTTCATTTCCAACTGGTTCTTGTTCATTGTTTCTATTTCCTTTTCCATGCTATTGTAGTTCTAAGTTCTTTGTAATTTTCACTAAATTCCTTGAGTATCCTTATAACCATACTATGAACTCTATATCTGGTAAACAGCTTGCCTCCATTTCATTTAGTTCCTTTTCTAGAGATTACTCCTTTTCTTTAATTTGAGGGTTGTTTCTGTCTCCCCATTTTAGCTGTCTCTTTGTGTGTGTGTTTGTTTGTTTTTTGGTATGTGCCACTAGCGAGAACTGAACCCAGGACTCTCTGGTCTGCAGGACAATGCTCCAACCGCTGAACCAAACTGGCCAGGGCTCTTTGTGTTTGTTTCTATATATTAGGTAGAACTGCTACACCTTCCAGTCTTCATGGGATGGCCTTAGGTAGTTAAGTGTCCTGTGGGACCTAGTGGTGTAGTCTCCTTGATCTCCTGAGCTGGATACTCTAGGAACGTCCCTTGTGTGGATTATGTGGGCCTTCCTGTTGTAATTGGGTCTTTTTAAAAAAAAATACGTTTTTATTGATTTTTTTACAGAGAAAGGAGAGAGAGAGAGAAAAAAACATCTGTGTGATCAGGTCCACAACCCGGGCATGTGCCCTGACCAGGAATTGAACCAGGACCTCTCAGTCCATGGGATGATGCTCAATCCACGGAGTCATACTGGATGGGCTGTAATTGGGTGTTTGTGTGTGTGATCAACCCTCAAGCTGACTGACTGTGAGGTTCAACTCTGACCATATCATGCAAGTTGTTGTATAGGTACTGACAGAACAAAAAAAAGCAAAACAGCAAGAGAATAGCCCAGCCACAGTGGCTCAGTGGATTGAGCACTGTCCCATGGACTGAGAGGTCCCAGTTCGATTCCCAGTCAGGGCATAACCCTGGGTTGCAGGCTTTGTCCCTGGTGATGAGTATGCAGGAGGCAGTCAATTGATGTATCTCTCTCACATCGATGTTTCTTTCTCTCAAAAAAATCAATAAAAAGATATTTTGTTTGTTTGTTTGTTTATAATCCTCACCCGAGGACACTTTTGCATTTATCTTCAGGTAGAGTGGGAGGGAGAGAGGAAGAGAGAGAGAGAGAGAGAGAAAAAAAACATAGATATGAGAGAGACACACTGAGTGGTTGCCACCCACACGACAACAACCAGGGCTGGGGACAAACCGCAACCGAGGTACGTGCCCTTAGTGGGAACCAAACCTGGGACTCTCTGGTCTGTGGGCCAACACTCTAACTGCTGAGCCAAACCAGCCAGGGCCAATAAAAACATATTTAAAACAAACAAAAAACACACCAACAACATCAACAAATTAAAAAATATATATGACTAATTATATTCCAAAAGAAAAATAAGAGAAAATGTATGAAAGAAAAGAAAAAGAAGAAATTAAGAAGAAAAAAAGAAAGTAATAGATTAGGAAAAGAAAATATAAGCAAAGAAAAAAAGGAAGAAAATAGAATTAGGAAAGAAAGAAATATGAAATAATTAGGGGAAAAGAAAATGATTAAAAAAATAAAGACAACTGTAAAAATAAAATAAAATAAAAATAAAGAAAAAAGTGAAGCTTGTTGGATCCTGCTCCAATGCTATTAGAAGCCGGCCACTTGGTCTGTCAGTTCCTGGCCTTCCAGCAACCTGTCTGTAGCTATAAGCGATCCACAGTATTCTGCTTCTTCTGGGCTTAGCTGTGTCTGAAAAAACGAAGCTGCATTCCAAGGCTGGTTTTTACAAGCACAGGGCCCAGGAGGGTCAACCAACATTCCAAGCCTCCCTGGGATCATCTCTGCCTGTCAGGCTTAGACACAGAAAGCACTTAGTCTCTGAAAGAGCCTTTAGCACAGTGGTTCTCAAACTTCCTAATGCTGCGACCCTTTAATACAGTTCCTCATGTTGTGGTGACTCTGAACCATAAAATTATTTTCGTTGCTACTTCATACGTGTAATTTTGCTACTGTTATTTCTTAGGCAACCCCTATGAAAGGGTCGTTCGACTTCCAAAAGGGTCGCAACCCACAGGTTGAGAACCGCTGCTTTAGCATAATCAGGATGGGGTTACTGGATTTTCCCATGAGGGAGAGGTGCTGTTCAGACTTTGGGGAAGATGGTAGGTGTGTCTCCCTGCCCCTGAGTCAAAGTCTTAAGTCAGTCTTGGATTTCCCCCTGAACTCAGCAGGGCAGAGCAGTAGCTAGGAGGGTGGAGCCTATGAAGCCCAGAGGTGGGGTCTGTCAGAGGCTGGGGGTGGGAGGGTGGGGAAGTGTGTTTCTATCAGAAGTCCTGTGAGTTTCCCTGAAAAGTGGTGGGGGGTGGAAGATGGGTGTGGCCCCTTCCCATGGCCCCTTCCCAAAACACATCACTGACAACCCCTGAGACTGCCCAGCTTTCTAAGCCCCAGTCTATGCTATGCTGACTCCTCAGCGGGTCTTAAAATGCAGGGTGGGGTGAGGATTCCAGAGGTCTGGGAGAGCCGAATGCTGGAGGGTGAGGGGTAGTTGCTTTTTCCTATGCTGATGCCGCTTGGAGTTCCTCCCAAGAAAAATGGCTGCTGCGGTACCGGGAGGATGATCTAACATTAGGTTCCTTTCTGGTGACGCTCCCCCATGCCTCTTCCCAATGCCAGCCACCCCTAACTGTCCTTAGGTGCTTCCAGTCCTCAGTACCTTCCCTCCGCCTGCATACGGGGTGTCTGCAAACAAATGTTTTGCACACTAGCCCGTTGATAGCTTTGACTCTAGAGGCTCCATCTCTCCTTGACAGGTAATAACCCCTCCACCTCTCATAGCTAGATGCTACTGTAGGCGCTATTCCTGTCTCCTGGTGCTCCAGGCTGGGAAGCCCAGCCTGGGGACTAGGCTTCTCACCTCTCATGGGGAACCTCCTGCAGCTGAGGTATCCCTTCTTAGCCTCAGCCTGCCTCTCCTGGGAGTAGGGCTGGCCTTTTCATGACTCTGCCCTTCCTACCAGTCTTGGTGCATCTTCTGCAGTCTTTGTTTAAAAGTCTCCTCTTTGGACAATCTCCAGTTAGTATTTCAGAGTGATTGTTCCTCATTTTAGATGTAAATTCCAGTTTGGTTTTGGGAGGCATTGAGAGCAAGATCTCCCTACTCCACTGCCATCTTGAATCCCCTTCCCAGTATCTATTTTTTTTGTATAAAAAATTATATATATATATATAACATGTATATGAATATGTACTATATGTACAAAGTGAAAAAATCAAAACTGAACAAAAGTATAAAGAAAAATAAGACCAGCTGCCAATAGGCAACACACCAGCACCAGTTTTTTTGTGTATCCTTCCAAAAGTCATTCAATGTAATACATGCATAAATAAGCATACATTACCAGAAGTCAGCCCTTTCATGTAAAGGTCCAGATCATAAACATTTTATTTATTTATTTTTTTAATCCTCACCCAAGGATATTTTTCCATTTATTTTCAGATAGAGTAGGAGGGAGGGAAGAAGAGAGAAAGAGACATCGATGTGAGAGAGACACATCAATTGGTTGCCTCCCGCACAGCCCTGACCAGGGCCGGGACTGAACTGCAACTGAGGTACGTGCCCTTAACTGGAATCGAACCCATGACTCTTTGGTCCGAGGTCGATGCTCTCACTGCTGAGCCAAACCAGCCAGGGCCCAGATAGTAAGCATTTTAAAATTAATAAGCCACGCAAGTCTGTGTTACATATTTTTTTTGTTTTTCAACAAAAAACATAGAAATCATTCTTAGTTTGCAGGTCATTATAAGTCAAAAGGGAAAAAGAAAGCAGAACACTGGTTGGATCTGGCCTGTAGCTTGCTGACACATGGCATATATCCTCCATTTTGGTTTTTTTCTTTACTCAGATCATATCAAATCACATACATTGTCCTATGCACTATGCCTCTTTGGCCTATCAACAACTAAGATTACTTCAATTTAATACACAGGTATCTGATTTGTTTTTTAAAATGGCTATACAGTATATTTCCTTACAAGGATGAATCATAACTTAATCAAAACTCTATTAATAAACATTTTAGATGGTTTCCAATCATTTCCTATTAATGAACAATGCTATAATAAGCACTCCTGTACAAACATCTTAGAGCAAATGTTTGTCTTGTAGACTAAAATTCTAGAACTCTCCTGTTACATCCTAGACATAATAGGAATTGAAATGTTCAATTACTTAAACTGAATTCAGACCCAAAGGCAGCCAAGTGAAACCTTTTCTGTATTTGGGTTTGGACTCATATCTGAAGATCAGTGATTATTAGTCCTGAAGACAGGCAGCATATTCACTAAAAATTCCAGTGCAAACTAAAAGGAGACTACATTTTCTGTATCTAACTAACCCAATACACATTTCTTTTCCATCCCACCACTGACCCCAATTCAAGTGCTGGGAACTGAAAATATCAATTCTAGTAATTTCCAAGACCCAATAGTGGAAGAACTGAACATACCCTTTCTGCAGTTAAGGCAATGGAGATTTACAATGTCATTTCAGAAAACCTCCTCATCTATTATTTCCTACTCATATGTACCTACCTGTTTGCAGGGGGAGACTTATAATTCTTGTTGGTGTATATTTCTTCTAAACTGAACTCCTTTTTCTTTAACCTGAAAAGAGAACAAAATGAATTTGTCACGCTCTCTAACAAGAGATAAGATTGGCTTCCTAACTGTCCTTCCCATTTGTTTACTTTCAAACTTTCTGTAGTATGTTTTAGATGTGTTTCATGTGAACAACATGTATTAGACTTTCTTTTTTTTATCCTCACCCGAGGACATTTTTGCATTTATCTTCAGATAGAGCAGGAGGGAGAGACGGAGGAAGAGAGAGAGAAACATCGAAGTGAGAGAGCATATCGATTGGTTGCCTCCTGCACAACCCCAACTGGGGCCAGGATGAACTGCAACCGAGGTACGTGCCTTTGGCGGGAACCGAACCTGGGACTCCCCAGTCCTTGGGCCGACACTCTAAGCACTGAGCAAAACTGGCCAGGGCTGTACTGGATTTTCTTTACTGGACTGCCATTCTTTAAATTTATGAAATTTTGTTCATTTATACTTATTCAGAATGATATGATTTTATATGTATTGTCTTATTTTACAGCTTCTTTTTCTACTGTATTTAAAAAAAACAGAAAACGAGAAGTTTTTTGTTTTTTTTAATCCTCACCTGAGGATATTTTTCTATTTATGTTCAGATATAGTGGGAGGGAGAGAGAGGGTGAAAAAGGGAGGGAGAGAAAGCGAGAAACATCGACTGGTTGTCTCCCACATGACCCCAACCAGGGCCAGGGCGAATCGCAACCGAGGTACGTGCTCTTGGCCGGAATCGAACCTGTGACTCATTGGTCCATGGGCCAACACTCTATTGCTGAACCAAACCAGTCAGGGTTACAGCTTCTCTTTCTTCTCTTTAATTGATTGCCTCCTCACCCAACTCCCCGCTGTCTCTCTTATCACCCTGGCTTGAAAATTATACATTCTTCTATTCTTTCAGTGGTTGGCAAGAATTTTATGAGTATATTGAACTTAGAAACTGAAGGACATCAATATTTTTAACCTTCTCCCAAACAACACAAGGTCCCTGGAACTTCTAGGACAAATTAATACTGTCCCAATTTATGTTATTAGTGTTCTATTTTGTCTTCCTTTTTTCTTTTTAAACCCTCACCCGAAGATATTTGCCATTGATATTTTAGATAGAGTGGGAGGGAGGAAGGGAAAGAGTAACTGATGCTAGAGAGACACATTGGTTATTTGCCTCCTGCATGACCCCAACCGGGGCTGGGGATTGAACTTGCAACGGAGGTATGTGTCCTTGACTGGGAATTGAACTGGCAATGCTTTGGTTCGCAGGCCATTGCTCTAACTGTTGAGCCAAACTGGCCAGGGCTTGTCTCCTTTTTCATTTTGTAATTTATTTGTTGAAGAAACTAGGTCATTTGGCCTGTGGATTTCCCAGTCAAGACTTTTTTCCCTCACAAGAGGATATTTTTCCATTTTGTTCTGATAGAGTGGGAGGGAGAGAGAGAGAAACATCCACGTGAAAAAGATACATTGAGTAGCTGCCTCCCGTATGACCCCAACCAGGGCCGGGGACGAATTGCAACCGAGGTACTTGCCCTTGACTGGAATTGAACCCGCGACTCATCGGTCTTCGGGCCGATGCTCTAACTGCTAAGCCAAACTGGCCAGGGTAGTCAAGATTTTTAAAAAATAACATCTACATGGTATAATTTAACATGTTCCTTTGACCTAAACACATGGGAAATACTATAGGTATTTCCTATAGACTGGCAATGAGATATAGAGGCATAATCTGATTAACCAGGTAATTCCCTTTGTTGTCCTCTTGGGAGTTGAGGAAGGGGAGGAACACAGGTTTATTTCTGGTTCATAGTGAGGTTATAGCCCTTTGTTGGTGTGCATGTCAATTCAATGTATATGTGTATCTCACACTAGACTCTCATTTGAGTAAGGGCATATATTTTAATTTTTGTCATTTGTATAAACTAGGCCAATGAAAATTTTTTTTGCTCCCTGGCTGGTTTGGCTCAGCAGGTAGAGCATCGGCCTGTGAACCAAAGAGTCTTGGGTTTGATTCCAGTCAAAGGCACATACTTTGGTTGTGGTTTGGTTCCTGGCCCTGGTCAGGGTCATGCGTGAGGCAACAAATTGATACATCTCTCTCACATCGAGGTTACTCTTTCTCTATCTCTTCCTCCCACTCTGAAAACAAATGGGAAAATATCCTTGGGAGAGGATTAAAAAAAACTCTTTAAAATTTAGTTTTTATTGATTTTTTTTAATCCTTACTCAAGGATATTTTTTTCCCATTTATCTTCAGACAGAGTGGGAGGGGGAGAGCGAGTGAGAAAGAGAGAAACGTCTATGTGAGAGAGACACATCAATTTGTTGCCTGACTGGTTGCCTCCTGCACAACCCTGACCAGGGCTGGGGACCGAACCACAACGGCGGTATGAGCCCTTAACTGGAATTGAACCCATGACTCTTCGGTCCACAGGCTGATGCTCTAATCACTGAGCCAAACCAGCCAGGGCTAGATTCTTTGCTTTAAAAAAAAATTAGGTGATGAATCGTTAACTATAATTTCATGATAGATGATTGTGATTTTTTTGATAATTATATGAAAGAATTTGAAGGTATTATATATCAATTACTATATTAAAACTTGCTACACTCCCAACTACTTATTTGTATAAACAAGGTTTTTCAGAACTTTCCATCTAGGATATTTGAAATAATTTAAAAAATATTTCTTGAAAAGACATATGATATAATGATCAATAATAAAACTATAATATAAAAATACAATAAATTAAGATGAAAAGTATGTGGTAAAAGTGGAACGTCAATCATCACCACAGTAATAGTTAATTGTTTATTGCATATGTGTTATGTGAAGCAATATAATAGCTACAGTACATTTTTTTCTCAATTGGACTATATAGCAATCTTGAGCTTTGGGAATTCTTTTTTTTTTTTTATCCTCACCCAAGGACATTTTTCCATCTTTTGTTCAGATAGAGTGGGAGGAAGAGAGAGAGAGAAACATCGCCATAAAAGATACACATCGAATGGCTGCCACACACAGAACCCAACCAGGGCCGGGGACAAAATGCAACCGAAATACGTGCCCCTAGTGGGAACCGAACTCGGGTCTCTCTGGACCGCAGGCCGATGTTCCAACCGCTGAGCCAAACCGGTCAGGGCGAGCTTTGGGAATTCTTATTCACATTTCACAGATAAGTTCTAAAAGCTCAGGAAGGTTATTAAATAACATACTTTGGGTGACTTAAAGGACTACTGGTAGGCTTCCATTTGCCAATGAGAAATGAAGGAGATCCACCACATAAAAATATAATTCTGAAGATCTTTTTAAAAATGTTTAAATTTTTATATGTCTGTGTAGTATCTATAATTCCAAAACTGGAATCAGGCTAAATACATAATTTGGAATCATGCCAAATACATAATTTAGTAATCTGTTTTTTCTTCCTACTTCACTTTATAGAATTAGCTATTGTCTCTGTCATAAAAAAATAAACCTTTAGCCCTGGCTGGTTTGGCTCAGCCGTTAGAGCATTAGCCTGAGAAACGAAGGGTCGTGGGTTCAATTCTGGTCAAGGAAATATACCTGGGTTGCGGGTTCAATCCCTGGCCCTCGTTGGGGTTGTGCAGGTGGTATCTAATTGATGTGTCTCTCTCTCCCTCCCTCCCTTCCACTCTATCTAAACAAAAATAAAAAACAAACCAGTGAAAAAGTATCCTTAGGTGAGAATTAACAACAAATCTTTAAAGGCTGTAATACAGACCATAACATGGATCTGGCATTTACTTAAAAAAAAAATTGGCCCTGGCCGGTTTGGCTCAGCAGTAGAGCACTGGCACGTGGACCAATGAGTCGCAGGTTCAATTCTGGTCAAGGGCACATACCTCGGTCGTAGTTCGTCCTCGGCCCTTCTCAGGGCCGTGCAGGAGGCAACCAGCCGATGTGTCCCTTTCATGTCAATGTTTCTCTCTGTCTCCCTTTCTCTCCCTCCCACTCTATCTGACTATAAATAGAAAAATATCCTCAGGTGAGGATTAAAAAAAAAAATTAAACTTTCCTCATAACATTTGTGTCCCTTCCTAGTTTTATACACAGAATGTTGTGAGATTGGGCTGTGGAGTCGGGTAAGACTTGTGTGAGACAGAAATCACCTGTGTCATGATTGACACTATGGTTTCTTAACCACTGAGCCTCAGCATCGTCACCTAAACCTAGGGATGACAACTGATTACTTCCCAGCATCACTGAAGGACAAACTGAGAGATTATGTATCCAAGGGTCAGCACAATGTCTGGCATGGTGACCTCAACACAAATGATTAGGAACACATTAAACCATCTCTGCACATAAATCTCTGGCCACATTGCCAATGAATACTCTTGGAGAAATCCTAGAAGTATAATAGCTCAACAGTATACGATCACTGAAAGGTTATTGTATTATGCCAAACAATTTTCCAAAAAGTGAAGCTACGTGTATTAGAGAAAAGAGCTCACCTTTTGGGGCGAGGGAGGCCCATAGGGGTAAGATTGGGGTCTGGCTTAGGAATGGTTTTCCGGATGCGAATCTGTGAGACTTTCTTTGGCCTCTTCTCTGGCTGCTCAACCTATAAAGTGTTAAAAACAAAGATGGTCATGTTGTAAGACATTTTAAATAAAGTCCCTTTTCTTCATCCTCAAGGTATCACCTCCTCGGTTTATAGATGACTCTAATAAGTAGTGTATGACAAAGCTTCCCCTCTTATTCCTGCCACCAGTGTTCTCAGCAACTACCTTCTTTTATATTATTAAAGAGAATTGTACTTTCTGCTCAGATATTGAGTTATCAATATATGTTGAAGACAGCAAATGTTCCAAAATTCATCCACTCATCCTCTTTGAATGTATGAAGCAGCTCTGCACTCTAATTCTCTAAACATTGTTAAATTCCATCATCAAGAAAAAAGAATCTAGAAAACAATGTAGATGAAGAGATCCAGGGTATCCTGTAGTGGCTAAACAGAAAACCTCCCTGGTAATCTTGGCAATCTCCAGTACTCAGCCAAAGTTAAAGGTGATAAGTAAAGATACTCAGGGGCCCATCTGTACCTATCATGTGATCTGTAGTCATTGATAGGCATCTCTCCAGTGCCAGTCACCTGACCCCAACAGCACTTTACACTTACCTCTTTCTGTTCTGGAGGGCTACTTTGTGGACAGGGGCACACTGCTGTCACACCATCTAGTTCATCTAATCCAGGAACCTGGAACTCAGAGGCTGAAAGCAGGAGCTTGCTGACAGCTGAGTCTGTTACCAAGCAAGACTTTGGTACCAAGGCAGGGAATGGAGGCTCTAGCCTAGCAGCACAGAGAGAAGAACAGGAGAAAATGGGTGCGGATACACGTTCTACCTCAGTACACTCAACTTAACATCCAGAGTAGGGTTGAAGCCTTTTTCCAGCAATGACATGTCAACCTGTTCTCTAGTCACATCTGGACATAGCCTGTGTCTGCATATGTAAAAATTTACAAGAATGTGGTCAATCCATTTCATTGGTATGGAGCAATGAAATAATGAAAATGTAATGAATAAGGAAAAATGTAAAAAGGAAAAGATTTTTTGGAAGGCAGAAGACATTTAGTGAACGAAACAAATGAAATGTGTGCAGATGAGATCAATTCCATCCAGGCACTGAAGTTGGCTAAATGACCAAAAATAGCTTGAGAGGGAACTTATGGTACAATGAGCTGGCTAAGTGATTTTGACTTTCTCCCCATATTTAGTATTAATTACACATTCTTAGTTACTACTACTAATTAAATACATTTGAATCTAAGATTCAATCTGGTTTATAAGGAGAATAAGAGTTCAGATTCATGCCATGCCTGATCCACACCATCCTCTAGCGTGCGCGTGCACGCGCTCTCTCTCTCTCTCTCTCTCTCTCTCACACACACACACACACACACACACACACACACTCACTCTACAAGCCCTCATGTGTCAGGCACCATTGGAGGCTTACTTCATCTGGCTGCCGCTGGTGTTGTAAGTAGCTTCCAGGCCTGGAAGAGGCACGTATGGTAACATGGTGTGGCTAAAGTGAAGCAAAAGTACAAGAGCAATAGGTTAGGGCAGTGGAACAGCAGGAAAGGTTTTGATATCATTACAGCTTTGGCATATGACACTCAATTAGAGCCCTAGGATGTTAAGAAATGCCAGTCACTCAGAAAGATGAAAATCTCCCAGTAAGGAGAATTACATTTATGTGCCCATCAATGGAATGGAGGCAGGATGACAAAAAAGATTATTTTCTAATTTAGGTGGAAACAAGGTAGAAATAAACAAAAGACAGGAAGAGAAAGGAGGGGAACAAGAATGATTTTGAGTCTTAAACCTCCTAATCAAGTTGTTGAACACTTACACTGAAGATTTTTTTAAAATTTACAGATAAGCCCTAGCCAGTTTGGCTCAGCACTTAGAATGCCAGCCCACTGACCAAAGAGTCGTGGGTTCGATTCTGGTCAAGGGCACGTACCTCGGTTTCAGTTAGTCCCTGGCCCTGGTCAGGGTCATTAGGAAAGCAACCAGTTGATGTGTCCCTCTCACATCGATGTTTCTCTCTCTCTCTCCCTCCCTCCCACTCTATCTGAAGATAAATAGAAAAATATCCTCGGGTAGGAATTAAAAAAAAACACTTACAGATAAAAATCTTATACTATATTCAGCTTTGTACTAATTCTTAAAATAAAATGCCAGTTTCTATAGCATTATACAAAATTATGAAGAAAACCTATTTTCTTTAAAGCCAAGTTCCATATTAAACATGGCTATGTAGCCCAGCCAGAGTGGCTCAGTTGGTTCATCATTGTCCTGTGCACCAAAAGGTTGCTTGTTTGATTCCCATTCAGGGCACATTCCTGGGTTGCAGGTTCAGTCCCTAGTTGGGGCATGTACAGAAGGCAATGGATCGACATTTCTCTCTCAAATCAATGTTCTCTCTCTCTCTCTCTCTCCCCCTCCCTCCCTCCCTCTAAGCATGTCCTACGGTAAGAATTTAAAAACAAACAGCCCAGCCCCTGTGGCTCGGTGGTTGAGCGTCGACCCATGTACCAAGAAGTCACTGGTTCGATACCCAGTCAGGGCACATGCCCAGGTTGTGGGCCCAATCCCCAGTGGGAGGCATATAGGAGGCAGCCCATCAATGTTCTCTTTCATTGATGTTTCTATCTCTCTCTCTCTCTCTCTCTCTCTCTCTCTCTCTCTCTCTCCTTTCCTCTCTAAAAAAGTCAATAAAGAAAAATAAACAAACAAAAACACAGGGCTATGTAAAAAAAAAAAAAAAGTTAACAGGATGGTTGGTCCCTTAATAATGAATCTTTTACTTTTTTTTTTAATCCTCACCCGAGGACATTTTTTCGTTTTTTGTTCAGATAGAGTGGGAGGGAGAGAGAGAGAAAAACATTGACGTGAAAGGGACACATCGAGTGGCTGCCACCCGCACAACCCAACCAGGGCCGGAGACAAACTGCAACCAAGTTACATGCCCTTAGTGGGAACCGAACCCGGGTCCCTCTGGACCACAGGCCAACGCTCTAACCGCTGAGCCAAACCGGCTAGGGTGAATCTTTTACTTTTATAGATGAAACAATAAAACCAATAATCACTTAAAGATACATTAATATATAATGTTGTAGAGCTTTTTGTGCCTCTTAAAATAAAATGTTTATCAGTTACTATTGAATTTAGAACACGGAACAGGTTTCAATCAATAAGACTTTGTATGATGACCAATCACTCCTTTTCCTCTTAGAAGAGAAATTTGTTCAAGGGCTAGGAAAAACACAGATAATTCAGATTTTCAGACTTTAGCAACAACTCAGAATTCCCTCAAGAGTATAGATAAAAGGAAAGCAAGACAGGGCGGAATATTGAAAAACAACAACAACAACAACAAAAAAAACCTGCTCTGGCCAGCATGGTTCAATGATTAGAGTGTCAGCCCACGGTCCAAAGGGTTGCAGGTTCAATTTCCAGTTAAGAGCACATACCTGGGTTGCAGGTTCGATCCCCAGCCCCAGTTGCGGCGCAAGCAAGAGGCAGCCAATCAATGTCTCTCTCACACCAATGTTTCTCTCTCTCTCCCTCCCACTCTCTCTGAAAATCAATGGAAAAAACATCCTTTGGTGAGGATTAACAACAACAACAAAAAAGCTAACCAAACCAGAAATTGGGAAACCTCATTCTAGGTCACTTCAGCTAAAATACTAACCAGCTCTGGCTAGTCTGGATCAGAGGCTAGAGCGTCGGCCTGTGGTCCTGAGACACCCAGGTTCGGTTCCCACAAAGGGCATGTACCTCGGTTGCAGTTTGCCCCCGGCCCTGCTTGGGTCATGTGGGTGGCAGCCACTCGATGTGCCCCTTTCATATCGATGTTTCTCTCTCTCTTCCTCTCTCTCCCTCCCACTCTATCTGAATGGAAAAAAAAAAAAAAAAAAAGGGAAAAATGCCCTCAGGTGAGGATAAAAAATAAAAAATAAATAAAAAGATAAAATACTAACCAGATATGCAATCTGGTTAGGAAAAAAAACATGTACCTGAAACTTACATAATTTTATTAACCAATGTCACCCTAATAAATAGAATACAAAGTAATAAAAACCAAAACCAAGTGCCTCAGGCTCATGATCTAGAAAAGACCAAAATGGTGTCCAGTTAACCTGTATTATGGGGTGCTAGAGAATAGGTTCAAATAAAAAAATGCTATAAAAACAAATTAATTTACTCTTCATCAACTTAAGTCTTGCTTTTGGGGGCTACCCAATTAATCAAGCTTAACATTTCTAAGTTTGTTTAGAAAAACAGAAAACTCCCAGACTCACACCAAAGCATATGATGTTAAAACATTCTTAGAACCCATAAGAAGGAAAAGTTGCTACAAACATCACCTTCCACCTCCCACTTGAATTGAGGAAAAAGCACTAAAGGGTCACACACTTTCCCAGGGTGAAATGAGTAACTATCCTCCTTCTACATTAACCTCAGGAATGAAAACTTTAAAGAAAGTAACATGATTAAAAAGTGTGTTTCATAGACAAAGAGTAAAAAGTAATTATAAGATTATAGAGGTATACCAACAAACTAGACAATAAAAGTAGTATACCATAATTTAAAACAATTTGACTCATTCTAATGTATTTTTATGGCTGCATTACAAGAAACAGATTCTCCTATTAACTACAAGACAAGTACTTAAAATAGTAATTCATCTTTCTATTTCAATCAGCCACATTTAGGTTCTGGAGTGTTTTTCTGAAACTACTTTATTTAGTTGTCTGCTAAGATGCTCGGTGAACTTCAAAAAAGATTTATCTATTATGTCTAAAGCACATCTTTAGGGATCTAATTCTCAAATTCTTTTTCTTCTCTAATTTTCAATTAGAAGGTAAAATAAGTCCTGGCCAGTTTGGCTCAGCAGTTAGAGTGTAGGCCTGCGGACCAATGAGTTGTGGGTTCGATTCCAGCCAAGGGCACATACCTCAGTTGTGGTTTATCCCCAGCCCTGGTTGGGGTTGTATGGGAGGCAACCAGTCGATGTATCTCTCTCATGTCGATATTTCTCTTTCTCTCCCTCCCACTCTATCTGAAGATAAATAGAAAAATATTTTCGGGTGAGGATTAAAAAAAAGAAGGTAAAATGATACTGGTGAAATTATTTTCTTAGTGGTCAAACCACAAGAATGCTTTTCCAAGTCCACTTAAAATTCTACAAATCCTACAACTACAGTATATAAATGCAAATCTTTGAAGTCTCTCTGCTCCAGAAAGAAATGCAACGGTTCATAAACTAGATTCAATGATGACTATATAACTAACTTATTGAAAAGTATTTCTTCTGCATGGATGGTGTGGCTCAGTGGTTGAGCATGACCCATGCACCAAGAGGTCTCCAGTTCGATTCCCAGTCAGAGCACATGCCTAGGTTGTGGGCCTAATCCCCAGTGGAGGGGCACATGCAGGAGGCGTTGAATCGATGTTTTCTCTCATCGATGTTTCTATCTCTCTCTGTCTCCCTTCCTTTCTCTCTAAAAATCAATAAAGAAAAAAAAATTACTTATTTCCAAAGTTAACATAGTTTGAAAAAAAAAGTATTGCTTCATATCTTTGACATACCAAACTCTGAATTAGGTGCTGCCTGTGTAATACTTTGTGACCAAGTTACAGCGACAAGCCATTATTTGTAACTACTCAGTCTTTAACTTGTAACGGTGTTTGTTCTTTGCAAGGTAGGGGCAAGAGGAGAAAAGAGATTCAAAAGATTTTGATGGTTTGCATAATCAATGGACAGAACAAAGAATGGTAGAAAATAAAGGGTTCTGCAGGAAATTAGAGGGGTCTGTACTTAAGAATTACTGCTGCATTTTCTTGGCAGAGATTTGGCAAGGTATAAACAGAATGCAGACACAGAGACTCCAAATAGCCCTGCATTTCCAGTAGTGTCTCTCCCCTCTCCCCACTGCAGAAAGCAAACATGGGACATTTGCAAAGAACAGGGTCAGAGTTTACCTGCTTCTGGTGTCGAGAGTTGGTTGTCGCTTGCTGTGAGTGGAATGAAGAGCAGAGATTTCGAAGGGGCAGGCAGAAGGCCCATGCTGGCTCCAAACAGATAGCACTCGGCCCACCGAATAGGGTAGAGAACAGAAGATCTTGTCTGCTATGGAGGCTGGAGACCTTAACCCTTTCAAGCCCTGGGTAAACTGAGTCATGAAGAGCCTCTGCATAGTAGGCATGTGACTGGAAAAGTTCCGTTTTTTTGTCCAGATTCGGTAACATCCAGGGGAACAAAGTGCTAGGAGAGTGTGAAGGCCAAGGACAGAGCAGCCTGCTCTTGTCTGGACTATGGCAGTGCCTCCGCAGTCTTGGAGAGGAACTGGAGGCTGTGGAAGAGCCTGGGCATGTGCCTGACTGTGGAGGCCAGTGTCTTCCCTGAATGTGGCCATCCCAGGGCAACCATGGGACAAGAAGAAAGAAAAGGTCCACTTGGGAGGTTGAGAAGGGCACTGGGTGGCCTCCCCTAAGGCAAGCCTTGCTGGAGCACAGTGCTCAGGAAAAGTCCTTGGGGACTCAGTCATGCACTCGGAACCTGATTTCACATGAAAGGATACTGGGAAGATTTCAGAGTCCAACAGGAGCAGCGGCATCTTGTTGCTTAAATCTACGAAGCTCATTTTGATGGCTTCGAGCGGATAAAATGTCAAGGGTTTATTGTTAGGCCTCTTATCCCATTCACTAGCTGTCAAATATGGACTCAGCTGCATCGTATTGTATGAAAATCCATCCAGGAGCCTTTTATATCTGAGCCGTTTGTAGCTTTTAGCCACTGGAAGTAGTTCAGAGGAACACCGCCGATACCTTAGTTTCTGGGTCTTTGTGGCTGGGGCCAACCTGGAGGCAAGGATGGATAGCTTGTTGAGTAAGGCTGATTCTTTGGTAGGCTTCCTGACATTCAGGCTCCTTAAGAGATGGCATGGAGTAGCATTCTGCTTTGGTATGTGGCTAACTAAGCTCCTGGTGGGTACTGTTTTGGGTTCCAGTCGTGTGGGTGCAGACATAGCACATGAACTGAGAAATCGGTGTGCTTTTGTGGAGATGGTTTCAGAGGAACTCTTTAAAAAGGCAGAATTTCTGATTTTACTTATTTTTCTCCCCACATTGACTTGCTCCTGACAGGAAACTTTCTTACATGTCCGATGAGGCTGCTTCTTTAAAGGAAGCACTCCTTTCTGATGTGAAGTGTTCCCAAAGGCACCATATATTTCATCACAACTAGCAGAGTCGGGGCCTTGTGCTTTCTGGGAGGCACCACGAAGGCAAGGATCTATGCACAACTCAGTGTCCTGTTTTAATGGATGACATAAGTTTTCCTCCTTTAGGTCTTTCGACTTCTGAAACCATGCAGTAATATCACCCTTGGCCAGCTTTGCTGGGGTGATTTCTTTCATCCTGGTGTACTCATATTTGCAATCCTTAGGTTGGTTTTTATTTTGCACATCGTCTGACAACACATTAGATGATGTGCATTGTTCCAATATCGTATGTGCTTCTTTTTGATGTATATATTCCTCTTCCTTCTGTAACATGTAGTCCAAATCCCTCTGGCTTTGTTGTTCTTCAGAACCACCACACATCCTCAGGGATTTAAAGTGTGTCTGAGAAATCTCACTCACATTATCACCATGACTATCTTCTCTGGTGATCTTCTCCTCAGACTTGTCCCCAACAGTTAAGTGATCCGGTGGTCCCCTCTGATGTTCTTTGGCTTCTTCTCCTATCACTTTAGTTTCTGTTTCCATCATCAAAGGCAAAATTTTCACACTGATGTCATTGCTGCCTCCTTCACTGGGATTACTCATAGCCCTTGGTGCTCCTTCCTGCATCTTAGGCAGGACTGTGCAGTCCTCTACATTTTCACAAAGCATTTCACCATCTTTTGGTTTAAAAATATTTTTCAGGTCAGTTTCTTCACTATTAATATTAGCTTCTGAATTTTCTTGAGAAGAAAGATAAAAAGGCATTATCTCAGTGGATCTCAGGCTCTCTGGAGGAACAGAGTTCTCATCTTGGTGTCTAGAAGACATCAACTCTTTTGAGGAAATTCCAAAGGTATTTTCCTCATCAAACTCAGAATGTGTTTCTAGTCTTGATCTTCCATTTATTCCTAGTGTTTCTCTCAGAGATGCTTCTTTAACTTGTTGTTCATGATGAATATGATTTAAAGACACATTTACTCTATCCAATATTCTTATATTTGGTTCATGATCTGCAATAGATTCTATCTCATTGGCACAAGAGTCTGGACATACTTTCATTTTACAATCTTTTAATGATCTGCAGACTTTTTCTTCACATGATTCTTTAATTTTAAGAGATTCCATTGCAGAGGAAGTAGCATATGGGAAATCTGAATCCTGGTCAATCTTTCCTAAAAATGCAGCATTCAAGTCTCCTCTCTGAGAGAGGCTATTCTTTGAGGTTTCAATTAATGCCCATCCACCTTGCCGTGTACCACCATCAAGTATGCTAGATGTGCTTACGTCCAGTATGCCTTCTGTAGGTTTATTACTACAATCTGTATAGACAATGTCTACCATGCTATCTGTTGACTCCTTACAACTAGAAATCCTTTCAAAGCCTCCTTTCAAATATCCTTTCTTCAGATTGCCTGAACTGAATGGCAGATCTGTTTGGTTGTGGCTTACCTCTGTGTTAGACTCTGTGATGGTCTCTCTCTGTTCACCATCTAGTGGCTCCTTAGCTGGTTTATCTTCACTTCTACACTCATTTGGTCTGTTTGGGTTCTTCTGGCAGTCAAAGACTTCATATGTCTTCTGATTAAGAGTATTAACTGCTTGGTTCATGTTTTTAAAACTGGAGATCTTAGCAGTAAGAGACTGCTCCAGCAGTTTTTCAGGATTTGGAATGTTTACAGATTGGCTTTGTTCTTGTGTGGCACAATCAGAGACATTATATTTACAAAACACAGTCTCTTTGGGTATATCCTGTTCCTTTAATTCTAGCCCTTCCTCACTGGGTTGGATGTGACTGGTGGTGTGAATGGTTTTGTTTAAAGCTTCACAATTTAACATACCTGCTGTCCGTTTATTTCTGATCATATCTCCAGGAAGGCTGCCTTTAGTTTCTCTTCCATTAAGTTCACTTTCCTCTGATATATAATTCACTTTATGGGTGCTACTTTCCACGGAGTCTTCTCTTCCTGGGGAGTGGTGATCGCTGTGCGGAAATGCATTTTTATTCTTGGTTATCAAGTAGTTTTCAACTTCCAATATGACTCTGCTAGACTTACAAGCAGCACACATGGAACACACATTCTCTTCTGTTGCATTTTCCCCTACACAGTGGCAGCTTGAGAGATTCTGAGATTGAACACTCTGACGTTCCATGACAGACAGCTCTGGAAGCAAGACTACTACTTCTTTCCTACGTGAGAGATCTGGTCCTGAATCAGCCATTTTATATTCTCTTTCTAGGCTTCCTGGTTTGATATTTAAGGTGGGATTGTTTGAAGAGGCACCACAGGTTTTGTCACCTGGTGGAGAGCTGTCTTTCATTTTTGTCTGCATGGGGATGGTTTGGGTATCAGCAATGACCCTGGCTCCATCCTCTAATGGAGGGTGATAGCTCTGTTGGGAATCCTTGCTTGTTGCTAAAGGCATCTCTTTGTCAGTTGGCAACTTCATATGGTCTTGTGAATTAAGGGACACTTGATTTAAAACACATTCACTTTTTATTTTGTTAAGAACCAGTTCATCAATACAAGGAAGTTCATTCATCTCACAGGCAATGCACTGTTCATCTAACTGTGGCATAGTGTCCTGTGAGTTCTGTACAGCTTTTTCTGACTCAGGTCTGCAATCCAGTTCTAGGGATGGTGATAACGGAGCAGTATCTTTCTTGGGTTTTGATTCCTCATTTACAGGCCTTATCTGATCCCCTGGCATTAAACTCACAAGGGATTTTTTTTCAATCGTCAAGTCACTGCATGATGCTTCATTTAACTGGGTGTTGCCTTCCAGAGTTCTCTGAGTGCTGACTAAAAAGTTAGGGTTTGTACTGTAAATCTTTTCACTTAACATACTGGGCTCCATTGTGGCGGTCTGCTCTGGGTCTTCGATTTGCATCAAGGAGGAAAAACTGCTTTCTTCAGAGTATCTGCCTGGATGGCTCATATTAGTAAAAATTTCTCTATGGTCCTCAGGGTTTGTTAAGCTACCTTGAATGTCTGAAGTGATTTTGAAATCTTTTTTTTTTAACATTTCTTCTGTGGCTTCGGTAAAAGAACTGGGCATTAAAGAACTAGAACTGTCTGTATCGACACTGCCTTCAATGCAATAGTTACTGTGGATATTTTCTTTTGAGGAGGCAACAGTCTTTTTTTCTCCAGAGCAATGATCACTGGCATCCTCTTCTGGTTGCCTGGTATTAACAAGAAAGAATTCCCCCCTTTTACTCCTGGGGTTCAAAATCCGTTCTTCCTTTTCTTCTCTAGAAGCCAAGTTCTTGCTTTGATCATCCCCATCAAAGCAGGAATTCTCTGTCTTTTCAGCAGATCTCTTTAGCAAGCCATCACCTTCAAAATTACATTTTTCTAAGGATGCTGTTCTGGATTCTGATCCACACAAACTTGATTTAAAATATGAAATTTCAGAATTTCTTTCTAAGGGTTCTACAACAACTACATTTCTCAGGGGGTTGGGACTGCCACATGCAGAACCATGTTTTTCATTATGGTGGTTAAGAATCTGTTGGTGATTGTCATCTGCTTCACAGACAAGGCTTAACTTACACAATTCTTCCTCTCCATTGTCCACTTTGCAAATGGCACTGTTCCCTGGTAATAATGACAACCAAGAAGAACAAGTTTTTAATTCTTCACATTCTTTTTCTTTAGGAGTTGCTTCTGTTAATCCAGGGTCCACAAAGTTTAAAGGTTCTAGGGAAACTAACGTGCTGGTTTCTGAAACCTCACCACTGGTCATGATTTTGTCTACTTCTGGGTAATTGCTGTACCCAGCTGTGAGACCTTTACTCACATTGCTATTCTTGTGTCCTTCATTATTATCCGTCTTAGTCCCATTGACCTTCATACCTTGAACTTCTTCAGTAGATTTTAGCAGAGTTTCGGTTGTAATTTGTACATTTCCTTCTGCACAAAAGAAATAATTCCAAATCAGCATGTAATCATAAAAATCACTTGTACTCTGGCCAGTTTTGCTCAGTGGTTAGAGCATCAGCCTTCAGACTAATGGGTCGTGAGTTCAATTCACGCCAAGGGCACGTACCTGGGTTGCAGGTTCGATCCCTGGCCTTGGTCGGGATCATGTGGGAGGCAACCAATCAATGTATCTCTCTCACATTGATGTTTCTCTCTCTCTCCCCCCCTTCCCTTCCACTCTATTAAAAAAAAAAAAATCAATGGAAAAATATCCTTGGGTGAGGATTAACAACAAAAAAAGAGGAAACAATTTGCTCTATCTTCATGAATTTAATTGTGTACTAAATAGCAAAATGTCCAACTTAAAAAGAGAATTAGAAAATTAGTGCACTATACCACTGGTTTTGTTCTTCTCTGCAGAACATGGAAGGCCAAAAACCTTATTTGTAAAAGAGATTAATTTGCAAGTTGAATATTAGCCTTGAACCCATTTACCTGGAATAATTGCTTCCCTACAAGACTAGTCATGAGCTGGTGATCATTAATGCTGAGTGATAGGTACATAGGGTTTAGTATGTTCTCCACTTTTGAATAAACTTGAAAATTTCCATTATGAAACATTAAAAAAACTAAAAACCTTTCTAAGCAGAATCTAAATGTAATTCATAAATGAGTTTTACTGTACAGAGTATCTCTGAACTCCTAGGTACAGAATGTAGTATAAAGAAGTTTCTTTCCCATACTTGTTAATCTACAAAAAAATTTTCATCCCTCCTCCCTTTTTAGAAAATTAGCCTAAAATTGTACACATTCTTGTGAATGTGCATATGTATGAAGGCATGCATGTATATAATACCTGCACTAAACAGATAAAACAATATGCAAATCAATCTAAAGCTCAAATTCCTAGAGTATAAACTCCATGAGGGTAAGGATCATGTTTGTCTTGGTCTCTCCTCTTCATTCAAGTCCAGCATAATACCTGGTACATAATAGCACTCAGTAAATATCTGTGGAATTAATAAATGAATACAGTTAGGTCCAATCAACAAATGTTATTAATAGTGTCTTCCAAGGTCTTCCCTATCCATTTCTTAATTGGTAGTGAGAGTGAGAGTAGCAATTTTGAGGGAAAGAATAGCAGCTCTGAGCAGCAGGCTGGCTGGGCTCTGTGATATTACTTAACTCTCTGGTTCTGTTTCCTCCTTTGAAAAAGAGGGGAAGTACACTTACCTCAGTGCTATTTTGAGGATTAAATTAAGTAATACATATAAAAGACCACCTGATACAGTGCCTGCCATTTAAAGGAAAGGTTCTTTTCGTTTGCTCTGCTTTCTTTGATTCGTGTTTTACTGGACCTGAGAATAGTTAAAATGATATACTTAATAACTAGGCTAGGATACAGTGTTTAAAAATATTTGAAGTCAGCAAATATTAGATGGATAAATGTATAATGGATTCCGTAAATCTGTACAGATACCAATCAGTGACAAAAAGTAGCCTTGAAATTCTAAGGTTCCACATTGTATATACCTTTTTGAAACTAGCCTACCTTCCTTATCACAGCAGACCCTATGTATGAATTTCTAAGCATGAATACTCCAAATAGTCTTATTATATATCTCCAGTGAATGGTATAGCATTCATCAATTCATTCATGTATATTCTGGGCCTTTCCACTCTGTTCCTGCACCATTCTATTTATATTCCCCATTATATCTGCTCAGGAAAATGCTAAAACTCTTCATCCATCTCCAAACTGTTTACTGTGCAAGATACTTAAGGCAAAACTGTCCCTCAAAACCCCTACTTGGCACCTGGATAGTGTGGCTCGGTGGTTGAGTGTCGACCCATGCACCAGGAGGTCGCCGGTTTGATTCCCAGTCAAGGCACATGCCCAGGTTGTAGGCCCAATCCCCAGTGTGGGGCATGCAGGAGGTGGCCAATTGATGCTCTCTCACCGATATTTCTCTCTCTCTCCCTGCCTCTCTCTAAAATCAATAAAGAAAAAAAAAATTAAAATAAAAAACAAAAACACAAAAAACCCCTACCTGGCCCTGGCTGGTTTGGCTCAGCAGTTAGAGCATCAGCCCTCAGACAGAAGGGTCTCGGGTTTGATTGCTGGTCAAGGGCACGTGCCTGGTTTGCAGGTCTGATCCCTAGCCCAATTGGGGTCATGCAGGAGGCAACAAATGGGTCTTTCTTACATTGTTGACCAGCCCCCCACCCCACCAAATCCTCCGATGAGGATTAACAAATAACAAAACAAAACAAAATTAGGTGGCTAAACTGTGGAAGCTAAATATGACATTAGTTTTGTTTTTTATCCTCACCCGAGGACATTTTTTTCATTTTTTGTTCAGATAGAGTGGGAGGGAGAAAGAGGAAGAGAGAGAGAAACATCAATGTGAAAGGGACACATCGGGTGATTGCCACCCACATGACCCAACCAGGGCAGGGAACAAACTGCAACCGAGGTACATGCCCATAGCGGGAACCGAACCTGGGTCTCTCTGGACCACAGGCCAATGCTCTAACCGCTGAGCCAAACCGGCCAGGGCATGACATCAGTTTTGGTTCATCCTACTCCTCATCCTCAGGAAGATTTGTAATGGATTAGAAATACTGTAATATCTTATAAAAGGAAGCTCTCCTGTGGTTCACAAAGGCTGCCTAGAGGAAGGAAGATAGTGTAGACAACCCTACAAGCTTTTGTCATCTAAGCTTCTTTTGAGCACTGAACATCTGGCTTTCCAAATTACAAATAAATTGACAGATTCAACTCCTTAAATGAAGCTCTATAGCAGCTTTACTCATAATTGCCAAAACTAAAAACAACTCAAATTTCCCTAAATGGAAAATAAACTATGTTACAACCAGACAATAGGATCCTCTTCAGCAACAAGAAGCAATGAACTACTGATACACATGGCAACATGGATAAATCTTTAGTGCACCAAGCTAAATGAAAGAAACCAGACTCAAAGGCTTCTCCTGTATTATTACATTTATAGAACATTCTGGAAGAGGTATAAGGACAGAAAACAGATCACTGGTTTCTATAGGGTCTAGAGTTGGCAAGAAGGACTATTTACAAAAGGAGCCTGTGATGTTCAGTGCTGGGGTAATGGAAATAATCTATATCTTGATTGTAGTTACACAACTGTATGTTTGTAGAAATTCACAGAACTATATGAACCAAAAAAAAGGGTAAATTTTATTGTAGGTAAATTATACTTTAATTTAAAAAAAGAGAGAGACGCCCTGGCCGGTTTGGCTCAGCGGTTAGAGCGTCGACCTGCGGTCCTGAGAGACCCGGTTCGGTTCCGCTAAGGGCACGTACCTCGGTTGCAGTTTGTCCCCGGCCCTGGTTGGTCGTGCGGTGGCAGCCACTCGATGTGTCCCTTTCACGTCGATGTTTCTCTCTCTCTATCTCTTCCTCTCTCTCCCTCCCACTCTATCTGTACAAAAAATGGAAAAATGTCCTCAGGTGAGGATAAAAATAAAAAAAAAAATAAAAAAAAAAAAGAGAGAGAAAGCAAATCAGTTTCCTAAATGTGTACACTTCTTCCATGTTGTCTATTATTAAATGGGTCTACATAGTGCTGCATAATTTTTCAACTTTTCATCCCCCAAAGTATAAGTTATAGGAAGATAATGACATAAACAGAGAATACAAAACAGGAAATATTCATTAGAAAGTATTAAAAACAAATAAATAAACTCTAAGAATCTAGATGTATAAAAGGCAAACGGGCTCTATTGAAAAGTTCCTTTCATCTACTATGATGTTACTCTCTGGTCCACTGGCCGACACTCTAACCGCTGAGCCAAACCGGCCAATGCAAAATAGAGGCTTTTAAGAGATTGTTTCAACTTTAATTATTTTAAATAATTTAAACTATCTAGTCCCCAGAATTACATAAGGTGATTTTCCCCTCCTCGAGACTGCTTTCACCTTTGCATTAAATGTATTCCCATAATGCTATTCCAATTTCTGGTGACCCTCCTATTTCAGATTCCCATATAAACCTGAAGGGAAATTGGAACTGTGGGAACTAAGTCTCACAGCAATTATTGGGAGCTAATGCTGGTTTTATTCCTGGTGTCCATTTCATCTTTCTTCTACACACAACCTTCCCAAAGAAGCCTGGTCACAAGAAACTCTCTGAAAACAAAACAAAACTTAATAATGCCAATTCTGTAAAATATTAAACAAAAAGTTATGGTAAAATAGCCACAGTAAAACTCAGAATTGAAAAAACAAAAACAGCCCTGGCCGGTTTGGTTCAGCGGTTAGAGCGTCGGCCTGTGGTCCTGAGAGACCCGGGTTCGGTTCCCGCTAAGGGCACGTACTTCGGTTGCAGTTTGTCCCCGGCCCTGGTCGGTTGTGCGGGTGGCAGCCACTCGATGTGTTCCTTTCACATCGATGTTTCTCTCTCTCTCTCTGTTCCTCTCTCTCCCTCTCTGTTCCTCTCTCTCCCTCCCACTCTACCTGAACAACAAAAAAAACAAAAACAAAAAAAAACAAAAACAAAAAACAAAAACATATATCTCAAAATAGCAGAAACGGAGAGGCACATATCTCAGAATAGTCAGACTGTCTGCCAGGGGAACACTCCCACTTTGTTAGGTTTAGTGGGAGGCACATCTCATATAAAAGTATGAAGACCCAATCATCATGCTTATGAACAATAAAAGCATCTCTCACTTTATTAAATGGTCCCTCAACTAATACCCATCACTGCTCCCCCAGCCTGCTTCCCTTGGGTCTGCCCTACAGCAAACAAATAAGAAATGATGCCCTGGCTGGTTTGGCTCAGCAGTTGGAGCGTTGGCCTACGAACCAGAGTCCCAGGTTCGGTTCCTGCTGCAGGCACATACACACCCCCCACCCCCCACATAAATAAATAAATAAAGGATTAAGCTTGCCCTGGCTGGTTTGGCTCCGCGGTTAGAACGTCAGCCTGTGGACCAGAGAGTCCTGGGTTTAGTTTCCGCTAAGGGCACGTAACTCAGTTGCAGTTTGTCCCTGGCCCTGGTTGGGGTTGTGTGAGTGGCAACCACTCAATGTGTCTCTCTCTCATTGATGCTCCCCCCTCCCCCTCTATCTGAAGATAAATGCAAAAATGTCCTTTGGTGAAGATAAAGAAAAAATAAAAAAATAAAGGATTAAGCTTACTCTCATCTACCTAAATAAGCCAAAGCAGACATATGATTGTAAAGCACCTCAAAATTCTGGAATACCATGCTAACTTGGGAGTACTGTGAATGGGACATATTTATAGAGAAGGAAAAACAGTGCACCATGGGGAGAGTGTAGTAGCCTAGGTTCACATACTAAACAACTCAGTGCAGGGGATCCAAATTCATTCCTCAGCAAATTTATAAATTATTACAGAACACTGACTTTCAAGATGCCCCCATTCAGAATAATCAAATTTAATATAATATGAATGAAACTAGTGAAGCAATTTGTACAATGCCCAACAGTGCAGACACTTAAAGGTAGCAGGGATATGTTGGATTTTCAACAGGAAAACTTAAATCTAATTATGCTCAGGACTAGTAGCTATGATCTGGGGCAGAATGAAAATTTTGGCAACTGGGGTCCCTAGAGAGTGTATACAACTAGACTTCTAAGAAACATCATTTCTCAATTCATTAGCAAATAAGTTGGTAGATGCCTGATCTTCACTGTAGCATAGCAAGCTGAAATGCTGGCCATACTACAAGAGAGCATGTGCATCTGTTGAATTCAGATCCACGGTGACCATTTATCCTGCTTGTGTGCTCAGGAGGGCTGAACAGAACCTTCATACACTGGCCTTCACAGAACCTTCCTTTCTGCCTTGCTATGACTGGCTGGGACTCTGGGGAGCTAACCTTGTTTCCTCATATATAACACAGGGACACCCTGGAAAGTTCTTGGTGGAATGAACGAAGTAACATATCAGAGTCAGGCACTAGTCACTGCTGCTAAAAACTCTAGTAAAACCTCCGCCTCAAACTGAAAACCTTGCGTATGGCTTTGGGGGAGGAAAATAATTCATTTTACCAATTTAAGTCACTAATGAGAAATGGTATTAGGACAGAAAGAAAAGTACCACAATGTAGTTTATCTGATGACACTTTTCAGAAGAACTCATCTTTTCCACGGCTCGATGTGGACCAGCTCTTTAGGGGACAATAATTGGGTAAGTATGAGAAGGTAGATTTCCATGTAGAAAATAACTCTGGTTTTCCTGTTTAAAAGGTCATTTCAGTTGTTAAATGAATGTGCAATACAACTCATAGTAAATTTGTGCTTAAGCTGTGGGTAAAAATATAGCAATACACCAAAGACACAATATAGCAATATTGGAGCCCCACTAAAAAGATCTTATGGCAGGGAAGGGGTGGTGGCACTAAATGCACTAAGGCCCAGAGAACTGACTAAAACTTAGGCACAAAGTGACATTTCTCATCTTCAGAGCTTTAATCAATACTGAACAGCCGAGCCTTTGAGCCCAGAAAAAATGTCCAGCAGCAGGAAGCAGGGTGAAAAACTGGGACAAGTGTCTTTTCTCGTAAGGTTGATTTGTATACTTCCTTTTCTGTTCAGGCTGCCAAGAAGCAGAGAGTCAAATCTGATGTTACAACAGGGTCTCATAATTAAACATATTTGCTGTATCTTTTGCTGCCTGCCCCCCCCCCCCGCCCAGTTCTGATTATTCTATATTATTAATCTTAATTATATGATATATTCATGTAGTCCTCTCTCAAGTTACCAAAGACTATTTTCAGCCTAGGGCAGGGGAAGAATAATCCTGGCTCAGCATTCTCTTTTGGGCCTCAGCTCCCTCCTCAATCAATCAATCAAACAAACAAACTAAAGGTAGTATCTCAGATGCCTATATTCAACTATTGTTTGGAGGAGTAAAATGAGGTAACAGAAATGAAATGGCTTTGAAAACTCTCAAGATAACCTGAAATGAACACCTTCTCCCATCCCTGCCCGGGAGAACAAGAAGAGATGTACTGCCACAGTACTGAACTGTATTGGGTGGATTCCTCCCCTGTCCACATTAACCCTTCCAAACAGGCAACTTCATTTTATAATTCGAATAAAGGATTCCACATCAGCAACTAAGGTTTAACGCACTGTCAATAGAGAATCATTATAGAAAAAGTGGGAAGCAAACTACTGTAAAAAATAAGGCACTGTTTGATAATACTAGGGGTCTGCAAATATGTCCATGGGCAATATCGAGAATTTCTATAGTTAAGTCCATCTTGCAAGGGCCTATAATCCCTTATATTCCCAATGCAAAGTGGAAACTGTGAACTAAAACAATGTGTGTAGTAAGTGGAAAAAGAGAAGATTTGAGAGAGATAAATACCTTTGCTCCTCAGACAATCCTCAGGGAGGTCCATGCAGAAGAGTTCTTTACGCGATGGCATCCGGAGATCCTTCTGCAGTAAGAAGTCAGCAGTCAGGGAGGATTCAGAGATACTTGAGCTCATGAATGCAAATTATCCTTGGAGACTTCTTTATGACTCTGGAAATTTACTAGCAGTCACAAAGACTGGGAACTAAAGGAAATCTCAAATTTAAATAAGTATAATCAGCCCTGGCCGGTTTGGTTCAGCGGTTAGAGCGTCGGCCTGCAGACCGGAGGGTTTGGGTTTGATTCTGGTCAAGGTCCCGTACCTGGGTTGCAGGCTTGATCCCCGGCCCCGTCAGGTTTGTGCGGAGGCAGCCAATTGATGTGTCTCTCTCACACTGATGTTTCTCTCTCCCACACCTCTCCCCTCCTTCCATTCTATCTAAAAATATCCTCAGGTAAGTATTAACAACAACAAAAAGTTTGAGAAACAGCCCTGGCCAGCGTGGCTCAGTTGGTTGAGTGTTGTCCTGTACACTAAAAGGTGGCAGGTTTGATCCCTGGTTGGGGCAATTACAGGAGGCAACCAGTTGATGTTTCTCACATCAATACTTCCCTCTAAAATTACTGAAAAAGAAATTTTTTTTTTTAAGTTTGAGAAACAGAAATATTTACATAGTCTCAAAGTATCTCCCCACAAGACTACAAAGGGGAAAACAGTAACTTCACAGTGGAGAAACCTGGCAACCTCACCTGAACTGACGGAAGTTCACCTCCCCAGGAATGCCATGTGCCTCCTAAGAGGAAACCAGCATCACTTCTGTAGATTCCTGCCCACCAAACGTTTCATGAGGAAACATCAGACAAATACAAATTGTAGAAATTTAAACAAAATAAATGACCTGCACTTTTCAAAAGTGTCAAGGTCATAGGCTGAGGAACTGTGACAGGGCTGAGGAACCATGACAGATTAAAGACTAATGAGACAAGACAACTGAATGCTACCAGCGATCTTGAATTTTTCTTAGACAAAACAACAACAACAAACAAAACCATTTTCTTTTCTTTTGCTACAAAAGACATCAGTGTGACTATTGGCCAAATTTGAACATGGTTTACAGATTCAAGTACTTGGGTCAGTGTTAATTTCCTGATTTTGACTGTGGTCATGTAGCAGAATGTCCTTGTTTGCTAGGAAGCACACACTTAAGTATTCAGGCATCATGTCTGCAATACTACTCTCAAATTATTCAGGGAAAAAAAACACCAAATGTGATAAAATGTTAACATATGAGGGGTCTGCATGAAGGGTATATTGGAATTCCTGGTAATATTTTTGCAACTTTTCTGTAATTATTTCAAAATTGTTTCAGGTTTATCTTGTATCTCTCCCTGTGCCAGCCTGGAACAGCATTTCTCCAGTCTTGGTTTCTTCAACTGGAAGATGTTTAGAAACGAAGACCTGGTTGCTATGAGGTGTCACTGCTTCTAGGCCCTATCTCATATGCCCACACACACATACACTTCTGTATCTATCTGTATAGGTTCAGTCTGCCCCCCCACCCCCGCCATTTGTAATTTCCCCTCCTCTATTTGTGAGAAGCCTCTCATTATCCACAATACTTACCTATTCACTCAATCCTAGAATACATAAAAAGTAGTTTAGGAATTGCTAAGCCACACACACCCCTGAAAAATTTACTAAAATGTTGTGTTCTTTTTTTTTGGATTTAATCTTAGAGTCTATTGTCCAAATACTGTTTCCCAAAGTTTTTTTGGTTACTCTTGTTCTCCATTCCCCCTCCCTCAGTGTGGTTTCATTATTCATTAGCAAGAGTCACTTGTTATAGCTTGTATTTAATTTTGGGTTCCCCTAACATTCTTGTTGTCTATTTTTCAAGTATGAATTCAGAACGATACAAAAGGTGTACTGAGGCCTGGCCAGTGTGGCTCAGTGGCTGAGCATTGACCCATGAACCAAGAGGTTACCAGTTCAATTCCTGGTCAGGGCACATGCCCAGGTTGTGGGCCAAATCCTCAGTGGGGGCATGCAAGAGGCGGCCAATCGACATTCTCTCTCATCAATGTTTCTATCTCTCTCTCCCTCTCACTTCCTCTCTAAAATAAATAATGAAAAAAAAAATTTTAAAAACCACAAAACATAGTAGGGCTGTTATCCTTAGAATGGCTTGCTTGCAAGAGTGGCCTGGCCAGCAAGTGGGAACTTAGATTTTGGGAGTGTCCACCATTCCCTAAATGATATGAGTAGCTCAATGCACTTCCACAATCCCCACTTGCCTACTGGAAGTCTGGAATTTTAGTATGTGCTAGCCAGCGGATGTCTTGTGACCAACCCCCAGTAAAAACCCTGGGCTCTGGCAAGTTCCTATGGTAGACATTTCCATATGCTGTCACATTTTTTTATTGTTGTTGTTTATCCTCATCCAAGGATATTTTTTCATTGATTTTTAGATAGAGTAGAAGGGAGGGAGTGAAAGAGAAAACATCGATGTGACATCGATTGGTTGCCTCCTGCACGACCCTGACTGGGCTGGGGATCAAACCTTCAATCCAAGTACAGGCTCTTGAGCCAGTATCAAACCTGTAACTTTACAGTCCGCAGGCTGACTGTTGAGTCAAACTGGCCAGGGCATGCACCAGGGGGAAGTTAATTGTGTGTAACTTCACTGGGAGAGAACTCTTGGAAGCTTGTACTTGATTGCTTTACATTCTTTCACTGTAATTAATCTTAGCTGTCAATGTGACCATATGAGTCCCTTGAGTTCTAGTGAATCACCAAACCTAGAGGAGGTATTGAGGACCTCTGACGTATCTGGAAATCACTCCGTATCTGTACATGGAGATCTTCATTCTTTATTACAGCTGCACAGTACTCCATGTATGGATGTTTATATACCATAGTTTATTCATCCTCTCTCCTTTGTGTGGACATTTAGGTTACTTCTATCATATGTTGTCATACTTTTTTATGTTTACCATTCTCATAAAAAAGTGGGATCACATGTCTCTAATTATAAGTGGGGCTGACCATCTCTTCATGTGTTTAAGTACAACACACACACACACATACACACACACACACTTATCCAAATCTTTTCTCCATTTTTCTATTGGGTTTCATTATCTCTCAGTTAATGAGTTCTTTATATACTAGAGATATAAACCCTTTATCTGTGATGTATGTTGTAAGTATGTTCTCCCAATTTGTGTCTTTTGACAATTTTTATAGTATTCTGCCAATCTAGCAAGAGTTCTTATCTCAAAGTCCTAGGATATTAGGGCTCTGCAAAGCTTCTGAAATGTTATGTCTGATTTTCTAAGAGCTCTGCAGCATTTGTTCAGATTTCCAAAGGGTTCTGTGACCTGAGAAGGATGAGGAGTTATCACTACCATGTCTTCCACTAAGCCTAACTGTGCCCAACAGAATCACTCCTGCTTGATAGCCCCAAATCCGTGAACGCTTCTCTCACTTCTCTTGATTTTTCTCTTTCATGAGAAGACACACCCAGCAAATTGGCTTCCAATGGTGTTTTCAGGTTGTGTCATTAGTGTGAATTTTTATCCACGAATACATTCCCAGTTTTCTATATGCCTACATATGACATCAGGCTGGGCATGAGGAGGAGGGGACAGGATCCTCTTTGCCAGGAACCCCAACACTGACACGTTCTCGCTTCCCCTCTCATCCTATACCCACCCAACCATTGGGGTATATTGAGCTCATCCGCTGTGTGTGCTGTGGGGAAAGGAGACTGTGAGTATAATATTCTAGTTATAGGCTAACCAGAACACAACAGAACACAACCACCACCCCTCAGTCCAGGAAACACATTTTTGTTAATGTATATTAAGAGCAAATTGGCTTTCCTTGGCAGTCATACCACAAAGTTAATTCTAACTGACCAGCTAAAACCTGTAAGTCTTCTGTTTCTACAAAAACACTGCTTTTTTTCACTTGTGGAATTCAATTTGTGGAACCAAGCACAAAATCTTACATTTATATCTATTAATCATAGCACAGTTGAACTTCAATTCTCAAACATCTCCCATATGGAATAATTCGGTTCTTGACCAAGTTGTTCATGGAAAAAAAATGTGTCAGACTAACAAACCTCAGAGGAGGGGGTTAGGGAGATGGATGAGATAAACCAAAGAACTTATATGTGTAACCAATGGACACAGACAACAATGCTGGGGGGTTGGGAGATTGGGATGGGGAGGAGGGTGTCTAGGGGGGAAAAAGGAGAAACATCTGTAATAAAAATAAATTCATAAAAATTCAGAGAAAAAAAAAATGTGTCAGGCCTTGGCCGGTTTGGCTCAGTGGTTGGAGCATCGGCTCGCGGTCTGGAGAGACCTGGGTTTGGTTCCCGCTAGGGGCATGTACCTCGGTTGCAGTTTGTCCCCGGCCCCAGTTGGGGTTGTGTGGGTGGTGACCACTTGATATGTCTCTCTCACATCGATGTTTCTCTCTCTCTCTCTTCTTCCCTCTCTCCCTCTCACTCTATGAATGCAAAAAGTGCCCTCAGGTGCCCTGGCTTGTTTGGCTCGGTGGTTGGAGCATCGGCCTGTGGTCCAGAGAGGCCTGGGTTTGGTTCCTGCTAGGGGTGTGTACCTGGGTTGCAGCTTGTTCCCGGCCCTGGTTGGTCATGCGGGTGGCAGCCACTCGATATGTTTCTTTCACTTCGATGTTTCTCTCTTTCTCTCTCTTCCTCTCTCTCCCTCCCACTCTATCTGAACAAAAAATGAAAGAATGTCCTTGAGTGAGGATTAAAAAAAAAAAAATGTGTCAGTTGTCAAACAAAACTTCGGTTCTCAACCCAACAACCCTTTTCATGCTGATACCTGTATGATTAGTCATGCATCTTTAGGCGACAACGGAGAGCATGCTTGAGTATGAGTCAGTTTACTGCTAAACCTCGTGCTATTAACATCTCAGAAAATTGTGCTGTGAATAGTTTTTTTTTTTCTTTCTTTTGTTGCTGCTTATTATTATTAAATATGTACAGTAAGTCACCATGGGTCCTAAGAATATTAGTGATAGCAACAAAGTGAACAGGAAAGTTATGAGAACAATGATAGAACTTAAAAAAGAAATAGCTGCAAAGTATGAGAGAGGTGTTTGCGTATCTGACCTGGCTACTGAGTTTGGCATGGTGAAATCAACAATTACCACAATTTTAAAACATAAAGAAGCCATTAAGAGCCCTGGCCAGTTTGGCTCAGCGGTTAGAGCGTTGGCCTGCGGTCTGGAGAGACCCGGGTTCGGTTCCCGCTAAGGGCATGTACCTTGGTTGCAGTTTGTCCCCGGCCCTGGTTGGTCGTGCAGGTGGCAGCCACTCGATGTGTCCCTTTCACATCAATGTTTCTCTCTCTCTCTCTATTCCTCTCTCTCCCTCCCACTCTATCTGTACAAAAAATGGAAAAATGTCCTCGGGTGAGGATAAAAAAAAAAAAAGAAGAAGCCATTAAGAGTGCTGATGTTGCTAAGGATGTGAAAGTCTTCACAAATCAATGATCATAGGCAATTGAGAAAGATTAAAACAGGGAGTAACTTGGGGGTCTGGAATGGATTAATTCAATTTACATCTTTTTGTTGTTGTTAATCTTCACATGAGGATATTTTTTTCATTGATTTTTAGAGACAATGGGAGGGAGGGAGAGAGAGAGAAACATCAATGTAAGAGAGACACATTGATTGACTATCTCCAGAATGACCCCAACCATGGCTGGGGATCAAACCTGCAACCCAGGTATGTGCCCTTTACTGGAATTGAACCCGATACCTTTCAGTCAGTGGACTGATGCTCTAACTGTTGAGCCAAACCAACCAGGGCCAATTTACATAATTTCTAATGGAAAAAAATGATTTGGTTTTCAAACAAATCGCTTCTCCAACAGCCTTCTGGAACTTAGTAAGTTTGAGAACCGAGGTTTCACTGTATTTACCTATGGTAGAGTTGGAAGAGAGAAAGGGGATGGTTTTAAAAAAGGAACAGAGAACCCCGGTGGGTGCAGCTCCCATGGACTGAGAGGTTCCAGTGTGATTCCCAATCAGGGCACATGCCCGGGTTGCGGGCTTGATCCCCAGTGGGGGGCGTGCAGGTGGCAGCTGATGGATGTTTCCTTCTCAAATCAACGTTTTTCTCTCTCTCTCCCTTCCTCTCTCTCTAAAAAAAAATCAATAAAAACTTATTAAAAAAAAAAAAAGGAACAGAGAGACAGTGATCTTCCAGATCTTAGGTTGGGTGGAATGTACAAATATGTGTAGATGTATGTATGTTGTGTTCACTATTACACTTCACAATTTATATGTGCATAGTTTTACTTTGTATTGAATATCACATTAAGAAACTTTCATCTTGTTAGACTCAGCCCACCAAATCAAGAAGAAATGTTAGAACCTGAATCTGTTACCTCATTCATTTAACTATATTTTTAAGAGTAGGTCATCACAGCATAAAACCTGATTATCATATTCAACTGTAATTTAATACTTTATCCATTCCTAATTATGGCCAACATGTGCAGCCCACTACAACAATCAATTGCCCTGTAACCTGTGTAAAGAAATGATGTATCGCCCTAGCCAGTTTTGCTCAGTGGTTAGAGCATCAGCCTGCGGTTCAGAGAGGCCTGGGTTCAGTTCCCGCTAAGGGCACATATCTCGGTCGTAGTTTGTCCCCGGCCATAGTTGGGTCGTGCAGGTGGCAGCCACTGGATGTGTACCTTTCACACCAATGTTTCTCTCTCTCTCTCTTCCTCTCTCTCCCTCCCACTCTATCTGAACAAGGAGTGAAAAAATGTCCTTGGGTGAGGATGAAAAAAAAAAGAAATGATATATCAAGTGGGGAACGGAGCCTAGACCAGGAAGTCAAGAGAATATAAATTTATTAGTGGGTTTAGAGCAGTGATTTTCAACCTTTTCCATCTCATGGCACACATAAACTAATTACTAAAATTTGTGGCCCACCAAAAAATATATAATATTGCCCTGGCCAGTTTTGCTCAGCAGTTAGAGCGTTGACCTGCGGACCGGAAAGTCCTAGGTTCGGTTCCTGCTACCCCGCCCTGGTTGGGGTGGCAGCCACTCGATGTGTCTCTCTCACATCAATGTTTCTCTCTCTCTCTTCCCCCTCCCACTCTATCTGAAGATAAATGCAAAAATGTCCTTGGGTGAGGATAAAATATTATATATATTATATGTGTGTGTGTGTGTGTGTATGTATGTGTGTATATATATATATATATATATATATATATAAAATATAATATTTTTGCTGATCTGACCAAAAATAGGTATAATTTTGATTCATTCATACTGGATGGCTACTGTTGTGTTGGCTGTTCTTATTTTTTAATTTGACAGTCTAAGACACACTGGTTGAAAAATCACTGGTTTACAATAAGGGTTGTGAGTTCCTGTGCTTATAATCAATGTTATAGCCACACTCATTCATTTACATATTGTCTATGTTTGTTTTCATTTTATAACTCTACAGTGGCAAAGTTGAGTAGTTTTGACAGATACCATGTGTCCTGCAAAGTCTAAAGTATGTCTTTACTATATGGTCCTTTACAGAAAAAGTTTAACTCCTGGTCTAAGGCACCACCCAGACGAGAAGTTTTCCGCTTGTCAGGTATATTCCTTTAAGAATTGGGGGGTCCATCACAGCTCACTAACCATTAGTCCAACCTAACTAACCCCTCTTACTCTAAGTTCAAACTCACAAAAAAAGATTTGATTTCCCATTTCCTACCAAGTAATGATTCCACTTTTCACTGTGTATTAAAGAACTGGTTTTTTGATTTACAGGTCAGCTGCTCATGAAGTGAATTAGCATGGGTCAGTCCTTTGGAGACCATCACCTCTGATGTACAAAAAAACAAGTCAAGTTTCTGCAAAGCTAAGAACTTGCTTCCAAAATATGGCAATCCTTTTAGGGTATCCATCCTATGAAGCCCTGCTTGAACCAACAGCCTCCCTCAAAGACATCTCTGTGACATCTTACTCTATGATACTATCACTAATCATGATACTACCCAAATTCAAGGGACAAGTATACATTATTTCTTAACATCAGATGCAGAAATATGACATGACTATCACAAAGAGACTCAGTATTTCATATACAGTAGTTCCTCCAGAGAAGTGACATTTTTTTCCTTAAATAAGCACTTCCTCTCTTCAAGAGTCTAATGTGATGTAATGTTTTAAAATATTATTCAAAAAATGTTAACACCAAAATCAACATTTTGGCAATGTCTCAAGAATAAATCACAGGCTACCTGTCAACATCTGTACTTTATCATGTGAAGTGTTACACTGGAAAACTGTCATTCATACTCAACTCATCTGAATCAAGATCTCATTTCTTACCTGACTTGGGCTGATCTTTTCTTCAGTGGCTGTGGAATGTTGACAAGGGTCTTCCTTTGCTCCCTCACAAGGGTCTTTTAAAATTTCCACCTGGTCCCCTCGATCTCTGAAGACCTTTAGCTCCATGCTCTTGGTTTTCTCTTCCCTATCCAAGATCCCAGAAGCCACAGAATCTCCTGCTGTGGAGTCCACCAGCCCACACCGCCCAGGCTCTCCCCCATGATCCAAGGTCTCAAAGGTTTCTTCACAACTTTCCGTATGAGTCCTCTGCAGCTCCAAGGGCACTGCCCTACTCTGACTTACAAGAGAGCTTGAGGCTCCAGGTTTTACATCTGGAATCACACTTGGCTCAGGGTCAGCATGAAGCTCTTTGGAGACACTTACTGGGAGTTCCGAATATAATTCCTGTACCACGGCAGACATGGAGGAATCAAGTGGAACTGGCTGAGTCTCTACTCCGGATGACAGCATTAGGGCAGATGTAGATTATGGAGTCAACTCTTACATCAAACGGCTCACCCTGACACAAATCAAAGGAAGGGATAAAAGTTTAAAACTTTGCAGGGTAGAAGAAAGCTGTCTCAGCTCAAACTAGCAAAAATAAGGACAATAAATTCTACCTCAAATGGCAGCATTTTCTGGCACAAAAAAAAAAAAAAAAAACTGTCCTTAATAGACTGAATTTGTGGAAAAATAAAATTCTGAAACTTTTAATAGACATCTGTCTAATCTCAATTCAAATACTGCCTTATGAAAAATTCTCGGTTTAAATCTGGAGAGCCAGCAGATGCTGATGAGAATAAGACATGTCTAAGCATCCAAGGGATAGACCTGATGTAAATGAAAAGATCAAAATAGTTTTCAGGGCATGAACCTTGCTCGTTTTGTTCACTGCTATATACCTACTGCCTGGAATAGGTACTTGACACATATCAGGTACTCAATAAATGTTTGCTGTATGAATATATACTGAGGGACTCAGAAGAATTTGATTCACTGGCTTTTCTTCATTAAAATACTTTCTGAAAGAAGATATAAAGAAAATGGAATTCCGCCCTGGCCGGTTTGGCTCAGCGGTTAGAGCGTTGGCCTGCGGTCCTGAGAGATCCGGGTTCGGTTCCCGCTAAGGGCGCGTGCCTCGGTTGCAGTTTGTCCCCGGCCCTGGTCGGTCGTGCGGGTGGCAGCCACTCGATGTGTTCCTTTCGCGTCGATGTTTCTCTCTCTCTCTCTGTTCCTCTCTCTCCCTCCCACTCTACCTGAACAAAAAAAAAAAAAAAAAAAAAAAAGAAAATGGAATTCCATTCCTTCACTGCTTACTAAACACTTTAGCAGTATCTACCCAAGCTGGCATAAGACACTACTAAATCAGGTCTTTAGCAGATTCCTTCCTGACTTTTATTCAGCATCTTGAGATTTTCTAAGTGCCTTCACACACACCACTCACTTGACTCTCACAACTCTGTGAGCTAAGTAGGGCAGCTATCAACTTCCCATTATAGATTTTAAAATCGCACCTGAAGAGGTTAAAAATGACCTGCTGGTTTGGCTTACGGTAGAGCGTCGGCCCACGGACCAATGAGTCTCGGGTTCAATTCCAGCCCAGGGCACGTACTTCAATTGCGGTTTGTTCCAGGCCCTGGTCAGGGTCGTGCAGGAGGCAACTAGTTGATGTCTCTCTCTCAAGTCGATGTTTCTCTCTCTCCCTCCCACTCTATCTGAAGATAAATAGAAAAATATCCTCAAATGAGGATTAAAAAAATAATAATAAAAATAACCTGCCTATAAAATATTACATGGTTATCTGAGAGTAAGGAGAGCGATACCCAAGGGACTTACTCTGAGTGAGAATGTTTAATTTCTTGCATCGGGTGATGGAAACACACCTTATTTGCTGAAATAACATTTATATCTAAGTAGGTCATAATACTATATGATTAAAGTAGTCAAAACACACACACTCACACAGAGCTAGAAAATGGTACACTCACAACCAGGGTTTCCTGGTTGGTAAGTTTTCCATTTTAGTCTATCAACAATGTGTGAAGTTTCCACAAAATCCACTTTGACCCGATGAAGGGGTAAACTGATTAACCAAATAAGATACTGAATGCTTTCATTCTTGATGCTTTTCTTGACCCTAAACAAGGAGAGGACGATGAGAAATATTTGGCAACTCAGTTTGTAACAAGGATTTATTGGAGATAGTTATGGCAAATCCCTTTGGCTAAAATGCACATAGGAAATAAAGGAGGCTTCAGAAAAGCCAGCTGATTTCTACTCCTACTACTTCCTAACGTCCAGCTTTCCCCCCAAATAAACATATCACATACCAGTAAAATCCAGTGCTGGCTTGCAAACTGCCTCACCTTCTCTTCGCTGACCATAACCAGACATCTGAGCAGGGGGCACTTTTCCAACACGCCATGTAAATCTTCACAACTCAGTTTCCTTAATCTGTCTCTAGTCCTACCTTTGATTATCTGGGGGAGCACACAGATGTCACATATACAAAGGCACATGCTCTGCCTCCAAGTGAAGAAGTACCCACTCTCTGAATACTCCTGGGTTGATGATCGTTCCTCCATGCCCAAAAGATCCCATCCTTTCACCTGTGCTATTTGGAGAGGAGCTGGGGTCTAAGGAAGGGCAGATGACAGGTTCTTTCATTCTGCCTGTCTCTTAGTTTTTCTAAACTGTGGTGATGGTTTATTCATGTTCCTATGATTTCATCCACTGGGTGCCCTTAGTGTTTTTAAGGAATCCTACTCAAAGGTAAAAAATATAATGCTACATTACTTAATTAAATACTAGGAACTATAGGAATTTAGGCTGCTGGTCCATTATGTTCAGGTAACACAGGAGGGCTAATGAAGAAACCTGAATTTTAAAAAACAACAAAAAGAGTGAGGCAAGAATAAAATGAAACTCATACAGTGCTTAGAGAAATACATCCTTTTTGGAGCTACAGCTTTTCCCTCTAGCTCCTGGATGTTTCTGGGGCTACTTTAGATTTTAGGCCATTTTGTGTGTGTGCATGTGTATATGAGGGTTAAGAGAGATAAAGTGAAACTGCTATTTAATGGCCCCCAAAAGATAGGACAAGTTCAATTTTAATTGCATTGTTTCCCCTTCCCAACAACAAACAAAATCCAGTTTTTGATGGTCACAACATAGTACAAAGACCAGATTACTGCGGTAAGGGATACTGTGAAAGAGAAGGTTTATTAATGGAGAACAGTTCTGTGGGTCTCTCCACCTGCTTATGCTCAAGAGCTCTTCTCCCTGGGTGCCACCAAAGTGTGGGTGTTCTCAAAAGTTTACTGGTTGATACAGCTCCCTTTTTAGGCTTCACTTTTTTGATGACCTCACCTTTCCTTATAGCTTCTCTGACATGAGGATGACTCAAAACTGTCCCTCTAAGCATAGTGACCACAGGACCCAGCAAGTCTACTCCTAGTTATATACCTAATAACATATATCCACATAAACACTTTCACAAATGTTCACAGTAGCAGTATTCGTAAGAGCAAAAGTGTGGAACCAATGCAAATGTCCATCAGCTGATGAATGGATAAAACAAAATGTGGTCTATTCATATAATGGAATATTACTCAACTATAAAAAGAAATAAAATACTGATTTATGATACAACATGGATTAACCTTGAAAACATTATGGAAAATAAAAAGACCACATATCATGAGATCTCATTTATATGAAATGTCCAGAAGATGTAAATCTAGAGTCAGAAAGTAGATTAGTGGTTGCTTAGTGTCCGGAGAGGTGGAGAAATAGGGAGTGGCAACTAATGAACAGAGTTTCTTTTGGGATCAATAAGGATGCTCTAAAATTGACTATAGTGATGGCTGCATGTGACTATATGCTATAAACCACTGAATTGTATAATTTAAGTTCTTGAATTATATGGTATAAAAATTGTTGTTTTTTTTTATCCTCACCTGAGGACATTTTTCAATATTTTGTTCAGATAGAGTGGGAGAAAGAGAGAGAGAGAGAGAGACATCGACATAAAAGGGGCACATCGAGTGGTTGCCACCCACATGACCCAACCAGGGCTGGGGACAAACTGCAACCAAGGTACATGCCCTTAGCGGGAACCAAACCTGGGTCTCCCCAGACCACAGGCCAATGCTCTAACTGCTGAGCCAAACTGGCCAGAGCAAAAATTGTATCTTTTAAAAAATTTTTTTAGAGAGGAAAGGAGAGGGAAAGAGAGATAGAAACATCGATGAGAGAGAACATCAACTGACTATCTCCTGCATGCCCCCCACTGGGGATCTGGCCCACAAGCTGGGCATGTGCCCTGACCAGGAATCGAACCGGCGACCTCTTGGTGCATGGGTCGATGCTCAACCACTGAGCCACACCAACCAGGCTCTCTCTCCTTTTTTAAAATTAGCTTTATTAAGATACAATTTTTAACCTGGCTGACCAGAGAGTCCCGGGTTTGGTTCCCGCTAGGGGCACGTACCAAAAAATAAAATAAAGTTAACAATATTTAAAACAACAACAACAACAATGAGGCACATTGGCTGTTGAAGCAAAATACATTCCCTTTTTCTCCTAGCCCAGTTCTGGGTCCTCAAGTGTCTCAGCAGTATCTGCAGTTGAGTCACCAAGAAGAGCTGAGTGCCTTCTCAGTTCATTATTCTCAGTTCATTAGCTTGCATCACTAAACTCTTCTCTGAGCTTTTGCCATCTATTAAGATATTGGTAATGCCACAAGACTGCAGGAAAAAAGATACCAAATCTTACCATTCAAGTTCTTTAAAACTAAATTTCTGAATACAATGGAGTAATTAAAAATGGTGTAGAAACATATCTCTACATATAAAGTTGCCTGAAATATTTTATCAAACTACATAAACATCAGACCCCTTTATTTAGGAAAAATATACATGCATATAGGAAATACTTGAAATAATATAAGCCCGACAGTGATGGAATGATTGGCAACAGAAACAGTGATGTGTGACAGAATCACCAATGATTTCTCTGTATGTTTTATATATATATATATATATATATATTTTACAATAAGTATGTATTACATATATTGAAATTTTTTAAAACATTATTTCCCAAGATCCAAATATGTAGCAATAAATAACTGTAGCTGCATTATCCCTTTATCATTATATTCCCAAATGTCAGCTCTCTGCCTCGAACATAAAAGTTTTTACATTAAATGTTCAATGAACTTCAAGTAAGAGAAAAGAGTAACTAATACACGCTTATAAAATGTAGATAGGGATTTAGGGTTTAATCCTTACTAATGACTTATAAGCAACCTATTGGATGAGGACACCAGATAATTATCTAGTTTGAGGTATAAGCAAAAAATAACCCAGAGATTCATGAACAACTCTCATCAGCTGCTATTGGCTTGTCATCTTGGACTTAGATTGTTTAAAGAATAAATTTTTTCCTAAAGGAAAATATGACTGATATTTATAGGGGGTATGCAGTACAATTCTTGCAACAAAAGAAATTCTTTTGAATTGAGAACAATCATCTCCATATCTTTATGTTTCAAATGCAGAAGCAGTGCTGGGAACAGTCTGGATGCTGGTTTCCCTGTGGAGAGACCAGGGTCCCTATCCTGCTTGGGCTGGAGTGTGTCACTAACTTCCTTAGGCTACTTTTTCACATGTACAATTAACAAATTAAACACAAATCTCAAAGGTCCTGCCACCCATAAAAATCCCATGATTCTAAGTAAAATTTTCTATTTCACTGTTTCAGCAAAACACAACTATAGACCCCAAATCCCCACTGCAAGTACTCAAGGGCAAACAGGTAATTTAAGAACACTTTACATACAAAAACGATAGAAAGTTTTTAAGTAGTCTTCAAGCAATTTGGCAGTGTTAATTCCTATTCCACCAAATAACAAAACCAAGAGAGAGGAAGACAGCCAGTGAAGGATAACATTGCATCTCTTATTCTTATCAGAATATATTTTATAACACTGAAAACCTGACACAGTGGCAATTTCTTCTTTAGTCAGTTCAAACATTCCCCAAAACAAAAGTTCCTGGAGTATAAAGTTTGTAGCACTAAGAAAAAATATATAAGGGAAAAGACCAAACAAAGAAAAGAGAACAGAAAACCATGTGCCCCAATAATCCTGAATCTGAAGGTCTCCCTTCCCTTTAATTCCATATGCAAAGGGGCTGCTCTTAACGAAAAAAAGAACAGTTAATAACACTGGGCGCTGACAATACAATAATGATCAGGCCCTCAGAAATTCACAACACTCCTTTCACCTTGAGAAAGTGGCTTTCTTTTTTTCAAAGATCCAGACACTATAGCCAATCCCTCTATGAGGGAATTCGGAGAAGGGGCCTCTTCTTGAGGGGCAGAGAAAGAATTTTTTAAACCAAATTTCTAGACGAACTGAAAGTGGGGCAGGGAAGCCCACATACTAAACAGGGTCCAGCTTTCAACATGGAGTGTGCAGGAAATCTCAAAAGCATCAAACACTGTTTCCCTTTTCCTCCCTTTATTAGCATGCAGAAAAAGGATCCCTGTCTCCACATGGGGAGTGGAGTGAAAATGCTCCTGATTTCTAATTGACAGACTCTCTGCATAAAAGGTTGTAATTCCTTTTTGAAAGGAAGAGAAAAGAAACCATCTGTGCCGCTCTAAATATATATCAGGAAAGAGTCCTCCTCTCAAAGTATTTTTCTTGGGAGAGCAAGAGAAAAAAGTTGGAATCTCCCTCTTTGGGGGAGGGGGGCAAGTAGCTAGAAGGAAGCTTTTTTCCTCATAGAGCAAGTAGAGGGAGTGGGAGAGGACATCTCTAACCAGTGAGGAAGTGATAGCTTCTGTGAACAAAGAAAAGGCTAGCCTCTGGTATCAGGTCTCCCTACCTCCTGGAGTACAGACTTGTTTCCAAAAACAAAGTCTATTTTCCTGATTATTCTAATTGAGGCCCTCTTTGTTAATTGGGGGAGTATGGTAGGCTCTAAGAGGATTAGAAGTGCCTCTTTCTCCACCCCAGGGGGGAAAGCCTCCTTTCTAGTGAGAAAGGATGGGTTGAATGCTTGCGTTGCGGGTGGGGTTGGGGGGATGGGGTGGGGGTGATGAGAGGAGACATGCATGGAAAAATCTGTTCCTCTGTAGAAGATATTAGTTACCTTTTAATAACAAATTAAGTAACAGTAATAGCAACAATTGACCAAAAGATTACTACTATGTACTAAGCACTTACACGAATTATCCTTTAGCTCTTATCTCTGACTATTCTATGAAAAGAGAACTCAAATTAGAGATGGGCTAACTGAATGAGAAAGGTTAAATAATTAGTCAAGGTCACAAAGATGGGAAGTGGGAGACACAGACTCGCAACTATCACACTCCAAACGCCAATCGTGCGAACGAAAGGAGCTCGCTGCACACCAAGGAGACGTACGGGAAGAGAAGCTAGGCTCCCTCCGTGGATATGATTGGGGGAGGGGAGAAAGGCTGACCTCTAACACCATAAAGTAAATTCGGGGTCTTCCTCCCTATATCTCGGGGGAAGGGTGAAAAATAAAGGAGGAAAAGTAAGTCTATCTTTCATAGGGAAGGGAGATACCCTCTGCACTTTTAGGCAAGTTGAGTCTCGCAGTTCACTTGGGGGGCTGGCGCTGACCAAATCGGGGGGGGGGAGATCTTGTTTTGGGGGTTATCTCTTTTACCCTCTTTAAAATAAGTTAATAACCGCCCTCTCGCACCCCTGGAGCAGGGCTTGCTCTACTAATAAACGCACAGGGGCTGGGGAAAAGCGTACGCCCACGACAAGGGGCATCGCTTTCCCTAAAGG